CAAGAAACCCCAGACGCCAATATTTTTCCATGGAGCAACGCATTACATTCCGACAATTTATGAATCAATTATTCAATAAGGCTCCTGTTAATCCTCCTCCACCTCCTAGTCTTCGTGATCGTATTCTTGGTTCTCGTTCTCCTCCTCCTCCACCCCCACCTCCTCTTCGTCTTCGTGATCGTATTGTTGATCGTATTGTTCCTCCTCCTCCTCCTAGTCCTTATATTGTTTTTGATCGTCGTCGTGGTATTATTTTTAATCGTCATATTGATGTTACTAATGGTCTCAGTTGCACTCGTCGTCGTCGGTCGTCTTGATTGGTTTGAAATGTAAATATCGGACCGGCATGTGTCTTACAGCTATTTAAAAGAAGTTGATGTATGACTTTTATTTCATTTTTCTCTTAACAAAATGTTTTATAAAAATATTTTCATATGACATGTCTCTCTTTTTCTTATTATTGTTTCGATTTAATTTTCAAAAAACATGACTTGTTCAAATAATTAATTAAATTAATATTAAAATTAAAAAAGAATTCTTTCAAATAAAAATCTTGCCCAGGTCAAACAATCAGACATTAAGTCTTGTAAGATCAGATGAAATCGTACAAAAAAAATCGTGGTCTCAGAAATCTTATATCAATTCATACTGCAAGATTCTTGTAAGATCTTACTGTCGCACAAGATTTTCTATAACCTTATAGTCAGATGTGACAGAGCAACAAGATCTGCCAAGAATCTTAGAGTAAGATTTGATGTCAGACTTCTGTGACTACGATTTTATATACGATTTTTCGTCGGATCTTACCAGATCATACAATATCAGATACAGAATCTTGTCAGATCTTAGTATCTGATTGTTTGCTCTGGGTGTAGATATTTTAATCGAAAAGAAAGATCAATCTTTAATTTTTGCTGCTATTTCTTCACAATTATATCATTTCACTGAGACTAACTTATGCGATAGATTGAATATATGAGTTGTAACATAATACCAAATCAAAGAAAATATTCTACCATCTTCTATCGAAAAGAAATACTTAACTGAAAGATTAATTCTCATAAACATGCAAATTTTGATTGTAATTTACTAATTGTGTATTTGTAAATTGATTCTAAATCTATTAATAAATTCTACATAAATCTATCGTTTATACGAATTTAAGATGATCATATACTCTGTCTCCTTTATCTAAATATGTCTTTAAAACATTTTTTCTTATTGTGTTCATATATATAGTAAAATTTTATAATCTAGAAAATGACGAAGATATGTTTTAAGAGCGATTGCATGCAAGCCACAACTCATTGTGCTCAAACGAAGTCCCACAAATTCGATTCCAATTACATAAAGTGGTAGTGCGTCGTTCAATGAGTTTTTGGGTGAGGGTCAGTCAAAGCAACTACGACTGGTTTCGACCTTGCTCAAGGGTCTTGTTAAGTGGCTTAATATTCTGTTTTGATTTAGAAAAATCAGAACAAGACAATCTACACTGTAATCGAAAGATTATGGTGGAATTTTTGTGGAGTATTTGCTAATATTGAAGAATTCAAATATGATATCATTGAATGAGTTAGGGATCTGTTGGTTATGGTCTTCATTGTTAAAATGAGAAAGTTGAAAGGCTTGCTTGTGATCATTTGATAATCGGAAATATTTTGTTTTTTTTTGTTTCATCTGTCATTGTATATTCTTTATGAAATTATTTTTATTTTGTATGAAAAGTACTTAGATAAATTCACTAGAATTCTTTATTTGAAGTTATAAATTAGAAATTGATGATGTCATTGACTTATTAGAAATATAGTTATTTGATTCTACATAAAAATTCAAATCATTAAAATAAATATTAAAATGAAACAATAAATACTTTATTATGCAAGTGTTTTTATTGATCTCTAAACTAGTTTTATAGCAAATATCAATCGATACTAAAAAAAAACAAGTAAAAAATGATCTCTAATTAATTCAAATTTGATATAAACATCAAAAGATTAAGTATTCTTTGCGTAGAATAATAATTCTTATAAACAAAAAACTTTTAAAGTAAATCGATTGAAAAATAGAGTGACCTTATCTATTGACTAGGAAAAGACAAGTTCAATCTACTGATCCCAGCCCTTGCTTTTCAATAATCAACTTTTATCGGAACAATTCATTGGAATAAATGTTGTACTTAAGTTTAAAGTAATTATAGAAATACAGGGTTAATTCGCCGACACATTTCGTCTTTTTTATTAAAATGCAAACACTCATTAGGGCTCTACATTGAAGCACAAAAAACAATTACAAAGTAAAAGAAAAAGAAAAAACCGGTTAGCAAACAAAAAAGGAGAGAGAAGAAAATAAATTTACAAAGATCATTCAGGTATATGTATCTATTGTTGCCATAATGACTCATGATCATATTTTATGACATAGTATCCGTTGTCGGATGAGTACAGACTGCCATGATCGGGATTTTGATCTAGATAACGGCTAGATGTCATCAGATGGCTTGAATTCGGATGGTCTTATCAAAAGAGTAAATCTTTTCATCTAATCAAGAAGATTCTCGAAAGAAAGTCCAAGATAAGATGAAGATGCTCTGCTATTTCTAATCAAAATTAACTAGAAATAGTGTGGGTGTGGATGTGGGTGTGGGGTGGGGGGTGTGGGTGTGAGGTGTGGGTGGGGGTGAGGTGTGAGTGGGGTGTGGGCATGGTAGAAATGAAGATTGACATTCGCTCAAATCCATACCCACACCCACACCCACACCCACCCACATCCACATCACCCCACACCCATACACCCACACCCATACCCACCAATCATGAACAAGACTTCTTCTTCACCATCGTAATAACTTAGTTGATCAATGATAGCAAATGGTCTAGACAGTGAAATTGAATAGATATCTGATTCTATATCGAATAAAACTAAAGTTTTATTTGGATCAGCAACTTCATTAGAGCAAGCAAATCCAAGTGCAATATGTTTGTTTCTATTTGTAGAAAAGAATGTAGATATAGATATATATTGAGTTACACATTGTCGAAGTTTTTCAAGTTCGTCAATAGACATT